AAGATTCCTGGAAAACAAACGGATAAGATTCTGAATCAGATTGTTAAGGTCCACTTCCAAAATAAATTCAAAAATAGTATTGATCTAACCTTTTTTTCCTTCTTTGATCCTGCTACATATTTTTTTTCTCCCACTCCAAAACTCCAATTAAAAAAACAGTTCCCCTCCACCAAAATCTGAGACTTTTAAAATCAGATGATGCTGGGATATACATAAAACAAATTAGAAATATTGAGTCCAGCCTATGAATGAAATCAAGGTTGATCAACCGCCTCTCCATCATCGGGTGGAAAGAGAGGTAGGCGAAACTCTTTTTTTGGCAGATGAAAAGCCCTATCTTTACCTCTCTTTTTTTTTTTTTTCTTTTTTCTGTCCTGATCTCGCCTCCCTCTCTGCTCTCTGCTGTCCTTATCACCTGCAAAAAAGATGAGGTGGAACGTATATAAGCCCAAGCTGAAGAGCCCTTCTTTCTACAGATTTGTTCTTCCTGATTTGGCTTCCTACGCTCTTCTTTCTTCTCTTTGATTCTCCTATAAAGAGAAAAAGGTAAACTGCAAATTGTGGTTTTAAATAAAGGGAAGGGATAAAGCGAGAAATAAAAAGAAAATTGATAACGTGTTTTTTTAATTTATATATTTTTAATTTTATACTCAAAATATTTAAGGTATATGGATGATATTAAAAAAAAAAGATTAGTACATTGAGTTTTTACTTTTTGAAATATACTTTAAAAAAAATTGAGTTTGAAATATATTAAATTAATTTGGGTTAATTTGTTAAATTTACAACTCAAGTTATAAAACAATGATTACTCTATAAAAAATAAATTCTAAAGTGTAATTTTTAATCAATTTAATATTAAAAGATGAAATTAAAAAAATTAAATTAAAAAAATAAAAAAACTATTCAGGTCAACTCGGGTTAACCTTATAAACCCACAATCCAAGTTATGAGATCAAGATGATCCCATGAAAAACAAATAAAAAAATTATGAATCTCAATTTTTAATGAATAATGTTAAAGGATAAAATAAAAAATTAATTAAAAAATAAAAAACAAACAATCCAAATGATATATAAAACCCGCGATTTAGGTAATGAAAACAAGATAACTTTATAAAAAAATAAAAAAATTATAAAGCTGCATTTTAAATAGATCTAATGTTGAAATTGAGAGAAAAAATAAATCTATAAGACTAGGATAATTCCAAAAAAAAATAAAAAAAATTATAAAGATTAATTCCAAAACAATCTAATATTAAAAACTAAAATCATAAATAAAAGGAAGAAAATTGAATTGTTGGAGGATTAAATTAAAAAATAAAATAAAATAAAAAATTAATTAGAAAAAGCGGATTAAATTAAAAAATAAAATAAAAAATTAATTAGAAAAAACAATCAAGAAAGAAATAATCCAAGTCACCTAAGCTAATATGTTAAACTCATGATCTGAAACATGAAATTGAGATAAATTCATGAAAACCCAATAATTTTTTTTATGAAGTTCTACTTTTAATACATCTAATATTAAATGTTGAAATTGAAAAAAAATAAATAAATCCATGAAATCAGTATATGGCAGTAGAAAAAAATAAAAAATTACAAAGCATGATTTTCAAAACAATTTAATAATAAATAATAAAATTATAAAAAAATCAGGTTGTTAAAGAATTAAATTGAATAAAAAAACACAAAATACTATTACAATAAATAATATCTTGTAAACATAATTATATAACCATACCCTTTAATATTTTGCTGATTTATTTTTTATTTGACTTAGGTTCAATTTGTCAATTCATACTAACATGGATGTCTATATAATCTTCTTACTTTTCATCATTGGTAATAAGAAAGATTCTATTTTCCATCAACAAATCCTTTAAAAAATCCGGTTTAATATCAAATTAGTTTAAAGATTTATTTTATTAAACTTAATTTAATTTAATTTAATTAACTAAATTAAATCATGAAGAGACTCAACTAAGTTGACTTCAATGATAATTTTGTAAATGAAATCATTTTATTAAAATATGACACATCATTGTTTTAGAGGGGACCCATTAACTCATAAACAATATTTGTATTATGATTTCAAGTTTATAATATTTTTTGAATACACAATTTAAATCTGGATGATTTTCTTAAGACTTAAGGTTTAATGGAGAGGATTTAAAATGAGAAAGTAATATATATATATATATATATATATATATATATTTCTCTCATTTTCTCCAATATTATATAATATAAAATTCAAATTCCATATTCCATTCTCTTTTTTATTTGAAGATACACACACACACACATACATACATACACGGACCTCTCTTTTCTTTTCTTTTTTCAAATTTCCACGAGAGAATCCTGTGATAGGAACAGAAAACTTTGACCACATAGGCACTTTAGTCAAGAGTTCAATGAAATAAAAGGTTGAAACAACTGCAAAAGTGTTTGCTCTACCTTTAGTGCTTTTATGGAGGATTCCGTGGGCATGGAGATATATGGAATGCCATTGCAGGAGCCCAAATGGTGGTCCAGAAATTTCCTCCTTTTCAAAGAGGTCATGGATTATGATGAGTGGTAAACACACAAACTCTTTTCTTACATTTCTTCTTTTGAAAGAGAAAGAAAACAGCTTTTTTCATACATTTCATTCTCAAATACGTACTGTTATGTATAGAAATTAACAGAGCTGGATTGTAATACAATGCCATGGTAACCTCTTTTTCTTTTTTCTAGCATCTTATAACTGTGATACGAAATGTTTTGTATATGGAGATTAAATGATTATTTGTTCTTTAATTCGGTTTTAGAAATGTTATTGACATTGTTGAATCATCGGTGTATTTACGAAAAATCTCTTTTCCTGAGTGATCAATTGATCCAGATTTAAAATTAGTGACAATAATAAATATATAACATATTAACTAATTAATAAATCATATATCACATGCTGTCAAAATTTTTAGTAAAACAGTAATTCTATATAAGGTGTTGTTCGGTAACAATGAATGAAATTGTGAGAACAAGAATGAAAGTTCCATTCCTCTACTTTGTAGGTATTTGATTGAAATGAATGAAATGAGAATGGAAACAAAGAGTGTGAATGAAAGTAAAAAATTATACATAGTTTTATTTCTATTTTTACGAGAGGAAACAGTACTATCACTTGACGCTAAAATTTATTGAGGTTAATGACTTTGGAAAACTTATTAAATTGTTCTAAATACATGCTTAGTTTCAATTAATTTTTTTTTTAAATTCGAGGAAACCCCACTTTCTTGAAAGCATATTTTATAAATTTAGATGAATAAGTAAAATCTTAATTATTATTCTAAATTTTTACAAAAAATATATATTCTGATACACCTATTAAATTGTTCTAAATACATGCTTAGTCTCAATTAATTTTTTTTTTAAATTTGAGAAAACCCCACCTTCTTGAAAGTATATTTTATAGACTTAGATGAATAAATAAAATCCGTTGTTCTAAATTTTTATAAAAAATATATATTCTAACTTGAAGTTAAAACCTGCTATACAAATCTTAAATTTTTTGTTATCACGTCAGGTCTTTTAAAAACTTGGTCTTAATTAACACTAAAACCTATTATCCATTCGAATAATTTAGTATTCTTTGTCAAAAGTAAATTGTCTCGGGCATTAATCATAATGAAATAAAGATGTATTTTTCCTTTTTGGTTTCTATCTTCACATTTTCAATCCCAAATTAAAGGGATTGAACCTAATCAATCTTTGCTGCTGCGTACATAATTTAGTAGCATATTTACGTACTTAAGTGTGACAGCATGTTATATCCTTTTCATCCAAGTAAGAAATAGTTTATATACATTGATAAATGGCTGAGTAGGAGCTCACCTTACTGCAAAGCATGTAACGACAGATTATGATCAGTGGAGATTTCTGCCAAAATCCTTGTTTGTAAGAAAGAAATAGATTATAATCTATTAGCTAGGGATCTCCTATATATGATCATCCCAAATTAAACTTAAACCTATCCATACAGGAATCTGCCAATATTCTCGGACGAGATAAAAGGAAAAAAAATTATTTAGCCAAGAATTTCAAAGTGACATTTGGTGACCAAGTTAAAGACTTCTGTCGCCATAAGTCTTCAAACATGAGCACAGTGATGGGAACATAAAGTTTGTCGCTATAAACTAATGTTCTAGTATTTAACCCTGCAACCAATTGAAAAAAAGGCTCTCTCTCTAAGAGGATGATCCAGCAATTAAGATCTTATATTTTCATTATAAGATTTCATGTTCAAATTCTTGAATAATGAAACGAATATTAGGATTCGAGGGGGAAAACTTCCTCGCATGGAAGTGATATATGTGTTTGTGTCAAGTGGAGGATAGGCTATAAGTTATAGGACTTAATTTTTTAGATAGAAATTAAAACTCAAATATCAAATTACAGTCATATATATAAGTTAGTGGGTGTCGTTGAAATTTTTTAAATTTATCAATTACTTTTCTCATAAAATTATGAATAATTGATTTCAACATTAATAACCATGACGGATTATGTTACTTTTAACTTGAGATTATCCAAATCCCATTTTAATAATTAAAATTATGCAGGATGAAGTTTGATATGGTAAATAAAATCTAATCAATATAAAAATATTCTCTTATTACACCTTTCTTCTTCTTCTTTTTATGTTTAGAGTATTGTGGAACCATATTTAGCATACTAAGATTAAATATTAGTCTGTTTCTGCTCTTTATAATAAATTTCTTTTTCAGAAATAGACATTTGGCCTTCTTTCTGATCTTTCTTCAATTTGCATCATTTTCAATTTTTTAATTATAGTATTTTTGATGACATTCCCACTAAAAAATCTCTAGAACTGTTCTTGTGTTTGATGGCAGTAGTAAAGGAGATGAGAATATAAAAATAAATCTATCTCTAGAATAATTTTAAAGTAAATTTATGTACTTATTATATAAGCTTAATAATTTAAAGAAATACATCCCAAACAATGCAAACCGCATCACTCATCACAAAGGTGGAGGAATATTCATATAGATGACGAATGTAGATAGCTTACAGCAAGTCAAGTAAGCAATCACATCTGCTAAACAGTCGGGGACAAATACAATATTGTAGAAAACATAGACTCATATCCTCCTTGATTACAACACATTGAAGTCAAGGATGTACTTCAAAGAGCATGGAATTTCTTGAAGGTGTCTTGAAATGTCAAAACCATATTGATCAGTTGTTCAGTAGTGTTGACCTTGACATTAGATGCTTATCACTTCCCTGTACAAAGTGAACGAGTACAAAATTAAGTAATCAATAGTGAAAAATAAACAAGAACAGCAATCCAACAAATTCCCAACAACTTGATATATAATTTCGTGCTCATGATATATATTTTTAAGAGATATGATATTTTCTGTCGTATGCAATTTGGGTTCTTCCTGGTGTTACAAAGATTCTATGATATAGGGTTAGAGTGCATAATTCAGTGGTAAGAAAGCTCGACCCAAGGTAGAGTTGCTAATAAACCAAATTAATTAACAAAGTCATCAAGCTCGACAGCTCAAAATCAAATATTAGCATACCTGTATATCGTTTAGAGTAATTTTATGTAGAAAATTTCACGAGTCCTAGTCGATTATAGAAGTTTAATTTCATGCGCCACTCCCACATCATTTTGTGATAAATGGAGCTTCATTAAGAATACAACTTCCAAAATTCAAAATTAAGGAGCTGCTGCTTCCATGTTTTCAAAAAGCATTGTTAATTAAAAAAATCAAATAATATATATACAATATGGATTCTTGAAGGATTTTTTTCAAAATACTAAGCAATTTTATTTTCTAAGAATAAAAAGAAATGAGAGATAAAATTAACAATGTGATTTGCATTTGATCTCGGGTAAGTTGTCAAGTACTTACATCATCCAGCTTAGTTTGGTTGCTGGTCTCCAACATCAATCCAAATTGAATATGAGGGAAATGTGCCCACTAGTCAAAGAAGATACACAAATGATTAATACCCACAAAAGAAAATATATAATATATTTTTGAAGCTGGGCAAAAGTTATATGATCAGCTTTGCAATGATGTTCTTGTCCACTTACATTCTTGGCAGCAGTACTGAAAGCTTCTCTGTGACTGATCTCAGGATTATTGGCCTTGATCCTCTGAATCTCCTCTCTGCAAAAGAAATTTTTTTTCTTAAAGAATAAATCAATTTTTTTTTTAATAAATATTGTACATAAAATAAGAACATTCAAAAAAGTGTTTCACCACGGGAAAGATAAGGAAAATTAAAGAGTGACTGAACAATACAGTACTTTATGAACTGATTATATGCAGAAGGGACTCGCTGCCTCTTCTCGGGAGCTGAAAATGGAAAATAACAGCACATGAATTTGGTACAACATGACCAATAAAAACAAATTTAAAATAAAATATAATGTGCGGCTATATTTAGAAAGTATAGATTGGCATCATAGAAAATAAAAAATGGTAACAAGAGAATATGAACGTGAACATGAATTAATTAAATGATAATCCAAGATCAATGGAGATCGATCTTACGGCGATTAACAACCCTTTCTTGAGTGGCAATGTTGGTAGCTGGGGTTCTCGTTGAGATCTTGTTGATGAATTTTGAGGAGGAACCCATGTCAATTCTGTAATCATGTGAGATGTGGTTTGATGCCTGCCCACCAGAAGAAAAATATGAAGAACAAAGAATATATCATCATTTAGTGTATTTAATTACTAAGAGTAATTAAAAAATTAATCAAATAATTAAAAGAAAGTGATGTATGGAATGAGGAAATGATTTCTTTAAAGAGTTGAAGTGATGTTTGCATCAGAGATGGAATTGAAGTGACTTGATCTGTTAGAATTGTCTATTTATTTTTTCTGCACATGAAAAATAAAGCACAAAAAACCCAAATTGACAGACCTTGGAAAAAGGGCTGTAAGTAAAAGATGGCAATGAGGCAAGAACCCTAACAACGAATGTGTAATCAAATCAAAGTTGGCATATAACCTAGTGATATTAAGAAAAAGAAAAAACCTAGTGATCTCGAGAGTCCAGACCCTAACGCAGCTGTTGTGGCCGCCAAATTCAGCTATTGTAGCCACAAAAAGCAAGAAAAATAGGTTGGGTGATGGCGGCTGCTAGGGTATATTTACAGAACTATTAAAAATAGTTAGTCCTAAAGAGAAATCAGAAATGCTTTGAAAGGCTCCATCGATCTCTGTTAAAATTCAGATCCTGATGGCTCTTTTGATTCCCTAAAAAGGAGGAAAAAGGCTCAGAAACCCTAGATTTTAGAGGATATGTAGCAACCCCCTAAAAATAAGCAACAAATTATAGTTATTGTAATATCACCTGAACGTGATCTTGCCATGACAGTGACTGAAAGGCAGCTGCCATGTTCACAGACAATAGATTGGTGCAGTGCCCACATCGGACGGTGACAACGTCATACAAGTTGCTGCATGGAACACTCACCTGCAACACAACACCATTATTACTCAACTGATCTCCTTAGAATGTTTGTTCTTTTTTCATAGAATGGTATAGTTAGTAGTCACTATATATAACAAATTTCATGCTTTCTGTGTTTGCAGACATTGATTATTGACAATTATACATCAAATCTTTAAGATTAGCAAGAATTAAGGGTACAATGAAAACAATAATAACTGTCTGAAATAAAGGGATTCCTTCAATTCTTTCTTGATCCAGGCTTTGAAATATGAAGAGTGCAAGGATAACAAAGGAAAAACCGAAGCAGAAAAGTTCTGGATATAATTACAATAGGGTTCTTCTGCAAAGAATTGAGGGTTTGCCAACAGAAGAGGAAGATGTACGGAAAGCAAGCACTAGAATCAGAAGTAGAGCTTAGTGGGGTTAATTTATTCATTTCCCTCTTGTTGGGTGGTATTTTAAAGAAGATAGGGTGGCCATAAGATCTCCATTTTCTAGCTTCCCTACCTATGACAAAAGCACTTTTGTGGTGCAGTAATTTTAGTAAAGGAAAGGTTTACTGGCTGGCCACAGAGAGGGGTTACTGGCTGGCCACAGGTGGGGGG